CCACTAAGTAAAAAACAATAAACCTGCCTGCACAAGTCTCTAGGGATTTGAGCCTTATATTTGAAATAACAGCTATTAATAAATATGATGTCTTCACATGGCTTACCAAACAGAGGCAGCATGCAGGTTTATAAAAATCCCATTCATCAGGCTGTGGCTGCAGGACTGCAGCAGTAGGCTGGTTTACAGCGGAACTGTAGGCTGGCTGGAATGCATTCAGCAGGCGTACAAGTGGCCTCAGTTTAACGCAAAGAAAGCATTTATTTGTTGCTGGTTCATAAATACAAGCGCCTAACAGACAAAGGGTTGTTTTCGTTAGCTTCTGACTCGAAAGTTGGAAAAATTAAAGGCCTAGCATTCATTGAAGGATGGCAACGTCACTCGCCACCTTTCATGCCAGAGATTTCAAATGAAATAGTCGTGCTGAGAGGGCAGGGAGTGGTCAAGCCTCGTTTATGACCTTTTGCACATTCTTATGCAGTGATGTGAGATTTTACAAGATGGGCTGACACTCAGAATATGTATTTTCATTCAACCTTTATTTATGCAAGTTAGTCTCATTGAGCCACAATGACTCATTTACAAGAGACACCTGTTTAAACAAAGAACACAGATGAGGTACAGACAACAATAGACATTTAAATAAAAGCATATAAAATGAAAACGAGAATAGAAAAAAAACAACAACAGCTACATTATAAAACGATGTAAGATACTAAAAACAGGAACATGTCTGCGTTGGTTTTTGCCAGGAGCTTAGCAGATGTTTAAAATCCCTCAGAGAGGTCAAGGTCGAGAGCTTCAGATCTTTTTTGCAAGGTGTCATTCCAGGTTTGTTCATTGGGACTGACTGTCAGCTACTACCACACGTAATTCTAGCTCAATATCTGCAAAACTGTGTGAGTTGTAGACATGTTTGTGTTGACTAGGGCTGCTTAGTTGCTTAGTCTTGCACTGCAAAAGTTAACTGTGTCCATCCAGTGATTTCCTTCTGAACATTTCAGTAAAATCAGTCCAGTGATTTATGAGATATTTTGCTAACAATTGATGCCAAAATAATTAAATGCTTGTTTTTAATCCTAAAAGTAGAGGGAATTGTTTAACTTGCCTATTTTAGCCATTAGAATTGAGTATTAGAAATACCTGCAATTTGTAATATTAAACATTGTGATGACATCATCAGATGTGATAAACCTACAATTTCCTCACTCTGCACTTTCTCTTCTTCCAAACTGATCTCAGTTCTTCTTTAGTGTCTTGACTTTACTCTCAGCATGTGCCTCTCATGCAGACTCCATCTGATTGGCCATATTGTGTCAGGCAAAGTGTAAATGGGTGACACTTGAAATATACTGCTTTAAGATTTGTTGCAATTCCAATAGTCCTTTGTGATACTGACATACAGCAGTCCACATTGATAACCTTGTATTGTTGTGAAGCCCCAATAGCAGTTGTAGCAAAGTCACTTCAAGGATGCAATAAACTGTGTGGTTTGATGTTAAACAGACATCTTGATTTATGTGGAAGAGGTTTTGATGTGGAAGATATACAGAAGAAATACTCTTTAAATGGGTGAATATGATGAAAACAATGTAAACAGACTGCATGTAGTCAAAATCAAGTACGGCCGTAACACATTTAGAACGGTGTGTGCTTAATGTTCTCCAAGAAACGATGGAAACGGTCAAATGCATGACTGAGCATTTTCAACTTTAAGAATATGATTCAAATAATATTTTACAAAACAAACTGAGGAACTTGTTTCGGAGTGACCCCTGCCAACACAGCAAATCAAACACTGTCACTCAGATATATAATGGTGAAGAATCCATTTGAAAAGAGATGATGGCTCTTATGAGACTGAGACTGATAAATGTGTGTTTGCGATCTTGTAACATCAGAACAGAAAGTTGTCCTCGCTAAAAGGCTTTGATTGTCCATCTCTCCACCCATTTGCAGGTGTAGAGACACAAAAGTACAAAAAAAAAGTTATCTGAGTCAATCACATTTAGAAAAATGCCAATTCAAACTCTATCAGAACACATTTTTTGGGGGAACGTTTAGCCCCTACAGTCATACAGTACTTTGATAAACATATTTAGTCTTTCCTCATCGTTGCGTCAATGTTTTGCTTTCCAGGAGTTAAATCTTTTCTACAATATTTTAAAGTGGTTTCAAGCAAACTTTCTTCAGGCTGTATGACGATCTTTTAAAACTTTTTTTTTTGGCTGCTTTTCCATTCATTTTCAGTCCAGCATCAGAACGTTTTCAAAGAAATGTTCTTGTTTGTTAGTAAGTTAAACTTTTTAAGCTTTTCTGTCCTATAAATTGTCCAGGCCTTAAGGCCCACAGGCTCCCAAACAACCAGTGGTTGTGTTGACGCACACAAGACAATTTAACACTAAACCTATTTATAATGGATCTTTGGGGACTTTGTTACCAGCAGCCTGTCACTAAGACCTTTGTCTACATTTCTTCAGCTGAATAAAATATATATATATATATATATATATATACAAAGAAAGCACAGTTTGACTCATAAAAGAATGTTTTCGCACCAACGAGATGACTCCCAATACAGATGATTGAAAGATGAGGCACCTGTCCAAGTCTGGGCTGAATATTGTTTCCTGTCTCTTCAAGCTGCGAGTTATGTAGATTTTGACACATCTTTTGTCCTCCACTTGTCCTATATTTTCCATATTTTAGCAACCAAAGCCAAAGTCCCTTCAGAAAGCATAGAATGCTGTTGATCAGAACCATTTATTGATCAGAACCATTTATTGATCAGAACCACTGATTGATCTGAACCATTTTAAAAGAAAACAATAATGTTGGACACTTTGGAAGCAAAGTATAAAGAAATTAATGCTGCTTTAAAACATTTGCACAGTTAATAAAGGTTGGAGAAGGCAAGCCTGTGATAGGAAGGTTGTCAGTTCGACTCCCCAAATCAACGTCTAAGGTGAAACACCTTCATTTCCCCATTCTGGGCCCTTGAGCAAGGCTCTTAACCCCCACCATCTGCCCCGGTGCTCTAGATGGCAGCTTTCTGCTCCACACAGAGGGCTGTGGTAGCTCAGTGGTCTGTAGTTGTGCCAGGAAGGACATCCAATGTAAAAACAATCACCAAGTCTTCATGCGAGTTAGTTAGCTGTGTCGATCGCTGAAGAAGGGAGCAGCTGGAGAGGAAAAAAAAACTTTAGCTCTCAACAGCCTAGCTCCATCTTAAACTCAAGATCTTATTGTTCCATATTTTCCTATCAGAGCAATTTGCTTTCAGACTGCAGGCTTACTCGCAATTCCTAGAGTTTCTAAAAGCAGAATGGGAGGAAGATCTTTCAGTTATCAGGCTCCTCTCTTGTGGAACCAACTTCAAGTTCCTGTCCATAACGTTGACACATTGTCCAGTTTTAAGACTGGGATTAAGAATTTCCTTTTTTGATAAATTCTATAGTTAGGGTTGGCTTGTTATGCTGCCATGGGATTAGACTACTAGACAAATTGATCGTATTTCCTTAAATGAATTGTTAAAATTAACTAGTTTTCATTTGATACTATTTCTATCTTAACATGTCATTCTTGAACTGCCATTGTGTATCTGTTCCTACCAAACCCAGTTGGTCGAAGCAGATAGCTGCTTGTCCTGAGCCTGGTTCTGTTAACGGTTTCTTCCTCATGAGGGAGTTTTTCCTTTCCACTGTCACCTTCATGCTTGCTCAAGATGAGAGTTCTATGATGGAGTTAAATTCAAAGCAGTCTGCTCCTTGGATAATATTGTTAACTTGTTTTGTATATGAATGTTTCTGTTCAATGCCCTGAGATGACTTCTGTTGTGACTATTGATGATATATAAATAAACTGAACTGAACTGAACTGAATTGATTTGAATTGAGAAAAAAAAGCACTTGAACAGTGATTTGTTTTCTGGTTTCTTTGATCAGTATTTGGTACAAGCAATCCTAATTAGCAGGATAACAAGCACCTGTTAGGTCTGGAGAGTGCTTCCTCTTATTTCTTCTGTTTGCTCTCCTCCACCCAGCCCACTTTTACTTTCCACATTCATGCTGACTCGCGTAAGCAAATATAAATCAAGTAGAGCATGAGTGATGCTGTGAACTAATTATACCCATCACGCTGAGACTGTGAGCAGCCAGGTGACTCCCGCATTAATCACTGCAGTAAGTGTCACATGCTGACGTGTACAAAGCCACTTCCACGACGTCATTCTGTGATTCGTACAGATGCTTCTCATCTGCTGCCGGAGTATAAATTCTGCTCTGTAACAGATTCTGCTCTCTCCCGCTCCCATAAAATAATACTTAGCACAAAACTTTGAGCCTTTTTCAATTTAAAACAACTGTTTCAAATTAAACTCGATTTACTTTGCATGCTTTTTATGCCATGCTCGTCTTAAAGGGAAACAAGGTTTATCTTTTTAATACCAATGTCAGAAATGGCCCCGCTCGCTGCGAGGGAAACTGCTGGTCAGGTAATGAAGAGGCAGATAGTATGTTAGTCATCCACACCCCCGGTCTGTGAGGATCCCAAAGCTCTGATGAGATGCAGTGCTGCTGACTCTGCTGGTGCCTCTGGTCAATACCCTTCACACACAGCTCTGTTCATTATGACTTTGCAGTGAAGATCACCATTAATATTACATCCACTTCAACTAATGAAGAACTTCCACCCAGAGATACTTAAAACTTTAGCCTGAAAATCTTTATGAATGTGTTTGATTTGAGCTTTGGGTTGTCCTCAAATGATCATCACTCAGCAGTGTGTCAGATGCAGCACAAAGCCAGCAGTGTCTAAAGAATAAAGTGTGAATGCAGCCTTTAAGGCTAATAAGACCAGATTGTTTACACAGAATCATGGCTGTGCAAGAACTCAGATCTTTCTTGCATCATTCAGGTTCATTCAAGGTGCTCTGACAAACACACACAGGTGCATATTAAACATGAAACTGTTCATTTCAGTTTGTGTTTTTCTCCTTCCAGATCAGCACTGAAGGACCCCGGAGAGCCAGAGAACGAATCCTGGCCTTGGCTCAGCTAGTGTGACCGGCGAATGAGCCTTGTTCATGCGTCTCCCTGCGTGCCACTCCCACACCGCCATGAACTGTGAGCAGGACTTTGGAGACGGGGGCTTGGGAGTGACCCTGACACTACGACTGCTCATGCACGGAAAGGTTGTTTGCTGCTGGGCATTCCTTTCAGCACAAGATATAGGATACATACATACATACATACATACATACATACATACATACATACATACATACATACATACATACATACATACATACATACATACATACATACATACATACATACATACATATATACACACATACATACATACATATATATATACATACATACATACATACATATATATATATATATATATATATATATACATAGTAGTCCTTCAATACTTCACTGTTCGTTTTTCTCGGACTCGCTCTATGACGGTTTTTCAACGTAAAATTGGACATGACACACAATTGGCTGACTGATGGATGAGCCGCATGATTGGCATGGAATTTTTATTTAAAATAAATTATTTTAAATTATTTAGCCCCTGCTGCACCTATGTGCAGCCCACAACTGCAGGAGCTGCAGGAGAGCATGGCATATAGCCGCTCTGCAGCGGAGAAGTTGGCGTGGCTGAGAGCCAGGGAGATGAAATCATGACATTTTGTTTTTTTTACAGCATTTAGAGTTCAGAAATATTGTTTAGTATATTGCAAGAGTGTGGGAAGGGTTTAAAATACCTTCATATATATATATATATATATATATATATATATATATATA